CAACTATGCTGTACTTGTGCACTTCCAAATTTTCGGGTTCACTGTCGTTTTAAAAAGGGAGGGATGCTATGATATTTTCTTATAAACTCATTAATTTCCGTCCTCCACAAATGTCCTTATCTATCTTCACATAGTCATTTTCACTTTACTGAGTCAGAGGAAAGATCTTGCCAGGGATTGCTTCAACTCTTTGCCCCAAAAATAAAGTTTATCTTCAGTTCTGACACATATTAAGGACAATCATATTACAATAGACAAATTTTTTTCTCTTTAAACAATTTGCCTCTATCAAAAGTATCATTTCCCCAATGAATCAATCAATTAATTAGGTATATTTGAGGATTATACATTATTACTTTGAAAAGGAAAATAAGTCTTCTTTTCTAGGAAAATATAGAGTAACTTGTATGATTCTCTTTTCATGGATTCAATTTTCAGATCCTTCGGATCATGTACACTAGAGGGATTTAGGGGCCGTTTGGTTGGGGGTATTCATCATAGGGTATGGGAATCAACTGTCCTCATTCCCTTTGTTGTTTTTTGTTAGGCCTTTTTCCCCAATCCCTTTACTCTCCATTCCCCCAAATCCTTCCAACTTGATTCCCCACCCCCCTAGGTTTATCCATTCCCTTTCCTTAGCCACCACTACACCACCATACCCACATCAGCCACCACCTTCCTACCCTACCCCCACCACCCAGCCGGCTCGCCGCACCTCCCCTGCCCCTCGCAACCCTCTGAAAAGCCCTCTCTTTCCCCGAAATTCACCCCCGCTAGGGTTTCGAGGATAGGGGGAGAGGCGGCCTGCGGTTTTTTGGGGAGGGGGACTGGTTTCTAGGGTTTTGCGGGGGTGGGGGGTGTTTTCGGGGAGGGGAGGGCTTTTAAGGGGGAAAGGAGTGGCGGCGAGGGGTGGGGGAGGGGTGGAGAGTGGTGGCTGGGTGGTGAGGTGGCTGGAAAAGGTGGAAAATGAAGGTAATAGGTGGTGGTGTGGTGGTTGGGCTGGTAGCTTGATTCCCCTTGTTAAAACAAACAACATAGTAAATTTCAGGGTTTTTCTTTCCCTTTGTTCATTCTATTCCGTTTACCCCGTGCAAACCAAACGGCCCCTTAATTGCTGGTCATTATTGTTATTTTGCAGAAGAGGAGGATAAATCGATTGCAGACATTATTTGGATGGAACATACATTTTGTAGATTCTACTGAGTCTTTACTTGGTAATCCTTTTGGAGTTTTTCTGTTTTTGACATCTCCTGATGGACAAATATTTCATCTTGAGAGTTCTACCGGTCTGTTTCAATTATTTTTAATCTTATGAAACACTGATTTTTCAGGAAATTCAGAGGATACATGGATTTGCCAAGTGATTGAACCAGCTGCAAAAGTAATAAGCTCTTTCCTCAATTCTGATGTGACCTCAGCTTCAGATGATACTGACCACTTGGTCCAAAAACTCAATGAGAGAGATCTATGGACTCAGTACACGTGCAAGGTACAATTAACCTTGAATAGATATTACACCCATTGTGTGATGAAGCTACTATCTTTGATGCACAGAAACTCTTGAGGATTGTGTTACTGTTCTCAGTTCTTACCCCATAAATTTTTATAATTTCTATAAATCAACCCTAATTTCTTTCTTAATGTATGTTTTTGTTGATAATAGTGAAATATTTTTAGGTTTCTGGACAAAAGTATTGGTACATTATTTTAGCTTTTGCATTTCCACATTTCATAGTTTGAAAATTGCATTTCTTGTTTCCTTGTTTTTGCTTTTCTATTTTCCATGTCTGCAACATTGGCAGCTAATTTCGAAGATTTTGAATTATTTTCTCTCTTGCTCCATTTTTGTAGGCATGTGACAAGATCCTTCGTGGTGCACATGAGTGGGAACAACATAATCAAGGGCGTGGACATAGGAAACGGATGGCAAATCTAAAGAAGCGTCAAGGTTCTTTCTTTACCGTCTCTTTACAGCTTCCGGGGGGTGACTGCGTAAGTTCAGATGCATCACAAGTGTAATGACGCTAAACATCATACTTTGCTGTCTTTCTTAAATCTTTATTTTGGAGATTGGGGTGTGGTCCGTGTGGAAAGGAGCTGTTTGGGAGAGGTGGTCTTTGATGTTTTCTAAGTTAATGTGTGATGCTTACATGAATCCCTAGTTCTTCCTGTGTATTATAGAGTGCTGAATACATCAGGAGGGAGTAGTCGTTTATGTATTGCTGTTGCTCATGTTATTGTATGTTACATATGCACTAATTACACATTTACACCTATTCTTGCATAAGACTGATACATTGATATTACAAATTTTGGGGTTTAACTTACATGTTGCACTACAAGTTCATATGAGTATGAGATTAATGGTTACCCCCTTTTTTTTTTTATGGCGTGGTGGGTGTGATTTTCAGATTGTGTCTATCTCATATTGATCTCCCCAGCCTCATGCCTGCCTAGTTGCCTTAGTTGCCTATATAAGGTACAGTTGGTCATCAATGATTGATTTTTTTCTTAATGTTAATAGTCACAATGTTAAGTATTACATACTTATTTGGTAAGTGTTAGAATTGTTTGAAGGTGGCCAATGGTAAGGTAGATCCTGTGTAAATAAGATGAGTATGTATGGGTACTTAGGGTGAGTGTTGGGGCAAGGATGTAGATGGTCCTTCAAACGACCAAATGCCTTTTCAAATGACCAATTTTGGGAAATTTTCTCAAAAATGAAGTAGATGTGTGGGATGTCCCAGGGTCAAATAGTTGGTTTAAAATTATAAGAGATCTATAAATATGTTTATTAAGTCTCGTGAATGAGGTTGGTTTAGTTATGCTACTATTTCAGGATTATGTTGCATTGGTAGTGAAAAGCTATAAAAGATAATAGTTGTTTACATGACCAACTTGGCATCTCGGGGTTTAGATGTCAGGAACCCTTATCTTCATTGGATTTTAATTTTTATATACACCCAAAAACATTGCTTATCATAACATTAATAAATAACATTAGTATTAGAATTTAATTAAAATGGAGTTTTGAATAATTGCCGTAAAGTTGTTAATGGAAAGCTAGTTGAAGATAACAAATGTTACTAACAAACCTCATGTAAGTTATTAACAATTTTTTAAACAATATAACCATGTTTTTTAATTGAGGAAGCTATTGGTCGGTGATATTAAGTTGCTAAGCTAGTCAAGCATTACTCGATGGTATCTTAAATGACTGTATCAATTGCATAAACATTGTTTAAAATAAAATGTTTTTGTTATTGTTGCCAAGTCTAATCAACAACTATTAATACAGAAAAACGTTCGTTTAGGTTTTAGGAATAAAAGTCTATCACATCCAACCTAAAAAGTTATTTGAGGTTGGATTTAAAAAATTTATTATTTCGTGCATCACGAGTTCACCATGCCACCACCGTACTTTTAAGAGTGGTATCTAGTTATTTGCCATGGATTTTATTATTGTTGTGGTAGGGTATATTTGTAACTATTGTTATCCTCAAGCATGATTTGTGAAGTGTGAACCATCCTTAATCTGTTCCCAACCTGTCACAAGCCCCGATTGACCCACAACCTAACCCATGTGGTCAACCCCATCCTGTCTATGAGCAATCTAGCCCAACCTGCAACCCTGCTTGGTTAAAGCTTGCGACTCCTTTTTAAGTCCAAGCCGACGATCCTAGCCCAATTTGGATCAACATATGATTTTTCCTTTTGGAAGTTTCACAATACATGAAGAAATTTTACTTCGAGGTTGCACCGGTTTATCTAGTTGATAAACTAGGGATGCTTATCGGGGGGTAAAAACCTTTAATTTTAGGGTTAAATTGCTACCCTAAAACTGCTACCAATGTTAGCGGTTATTATACCTATAATTAGTGTAAAAAATACCTTATTTATTTATAAGTTTGCCATTTGATAAATAACAAAAAAGAAAAATGTTGCAGTTATGAAAAAATGTAAAAAAAAAAAATATTGCTATTATTACAAAACGAATGAAGTAGATAAATTTATATCTTTTCACTTACTATTATATAATTATGAATTTGATTTTCATTTTTCTATTTTTATTTATTTAATTATTTATTTATCTATTTTTATGGTGAAACTACTTCTAGTTGATAAACTGGGGACTCCAAGTACATATTATAGGTCTTATGGTCATGACTTTGATACCAGCCATAGCATGTTATTAATCATTTTATTACTCTATTGAATTATTCAATTTATATGCTAACTTTGACAATATGTTGACATAATAATAAATGTATGTTTTTTATATTTATATTATGAATGTTACTTTATACGTTTTTTTTTTTTTTTTAATTTTTTTTATTTTTTTTTTATTTTTTTTAAAGATACATATAAACATATCAATAATTAACATTGTGTATTGATACATGCGACATGTAAAATGATACTCTTAATTTGAAACAGAAGTTGGGGGTATGACATGGACAATAAGTCCATTGGGTTTTTTGATGTAAACAATCGTCTAATTTCTTATCAATGTAAGACACTAACATAGTCACATGTGATATTTTACGAGAGCTTCAACAACAATTTTACCACCATGTGATAATTTATGAGACTAGAGCTTCAACAACAATTATACGGAGTACTAACTAGCACTAGCAAACTTTAGTTTCTATAGTGGGGGACAAAAATCAAAGCAAACAAACGGCGTCAAAACTTTGGTGACCTACAACATCAATCACCAGCTATTTCTATCTTTTCGCCTTCACAAAACCATCCTTCATGTCCCGCCGTTATCTATTTAGCACGTTCTTTTTTAATTTGTTTTTGGTGTCCCACAATCCCATTTTTTTCACGTGCTCCATAACATTCTTTTTTTCGTCACGTGTGATGTGTGAAGTGTGACATGCCAAATTATAGATGATACCCAAAATAAAATCATACATATATTTCCATTTTTTGACCCATGAAGTAACTCCATTTCCCAATATCATCCTCACATTTATTTCAAACCTAGCTAAGCTATGAACCCACAAATATCATCCCAAGTACCATACTCACCTCCATCAAGTGGTGGCGAGTCTGACGATACAACATCCTTGGACTCGCCTAGTATCCAATCAGCTCCACCACTCAGCACCTTACTGAGTGGTGAAGCTGCATGTCCTCCCCATAAGCGGAAGGCAGGGAGGAAAAAATTCAAAGAGACTCGCCACCCTATTTTTCGTGGGGTTCGCGAGAGAGATAGAGGGAAATGGGTGTGTGAAGTACGTGAGCCTAACAAGAAAGTAGGATATGGTTAGGGACTTACCCTACGGCAGAACTTGCAGCTAGGGCACACGACGTTGCAGCCCTAGCTCTAAGGGGTGACAAAGCTGCTCTCAACTTCCCTGACTCGGCTTGGCTTGCTCCTCGAGCTAAGTCTAGCTCAGCTCAGGACATTAGGCTCGCGGCTTTACAAGCCACTAGGTCCGATCATTGCTCTTCCTCACCTTGTGAAGGTAATAAGAGTGAAGATATGGGAGAAAGTTCAATGAGGTTTGATTCCAAAGAGTTATTGTTTATTGATGAAGAAGTAATATTTAATATGCCAGCTTTCCTTGATAGCATGGCTGCCGGTATGCTTCTTACACCGCCTTATCTAAAAAGAGGGGTGAATTGGGATGAAATGGATGAAGATGGGGCTAATTGTCATATAGATTTAAATTTGTGGCAATATAGCTAGATTAGAAATTTGTGCATAACATCATTTTAGGGCAATAAATAAAATGTGAGACTGTAAGCGTGAGCTAGATTTGTGAAAAGCTAGCTATATATATTCATGAGCTGCAAGGTTTATACATAATGCCTTTAACTACCCAATCTCCGGTGCTTTAGTAGGCCGTGATCGAGTGGTTCCATTGTCTTCTTTGATTCATTATAGTTTTAGATTCAAGATCATTATTTTGGTTGAAATATATGTCTTTTCATCTTAATAATATTGTCAAAGCATGAATATATATAGTGGACCAAATTGATAACATTAGTTCCCAATACACTGGAGGATTGAGTAATAAAGCTACTCTACTACCTATAGCCAAAAGACCTCCACCACTCAACTTTAAAGGTGAATGATTGTTGCAAGAAACTTGTTGAGATGTACTAGGTGGTACTCAAGGAATTGAATCTCATCTACGTCATTGTTTTAACGATTCTTTTTATTTACACCAAAAAGGGTGGGGGGTGGTTGGGTTTCGACCACGTCACTTAAGAAGAACTTTAGCCCTAAATGAAACAGTTGAAGGGTTATTGAGACAACAATAAAGGAATTACCTATACAAGTATACATATATACAGGCTTATCATGTAAAAGAAAAAAAAAAAAAATTCAATGTTTTATTATTTATCAAAACTTTAGTTTAAAAAATCGTAGTTTAATGAAATTTTATTCCAGGACCACACTATCCATCAAGTGAATGATATAAAGTTTTTCATTATGGAACTGTAGTGCATGAATTATTTGGTGATGTTGGTCAGATATATGTGGCTGTCTTATATTATTTAAATTGTTGCTACATACTCGTGTTATTATTCAATGGTTAGTTATTTCTTCATCATGTATAGGACCATCTTCTTCTGTGGTACCGCGCTACCGGGCTCCTATAAGGGCATTTTATGCTCACCAATTCAATATCTTCCCACATACTTGAATTCATTTCTGTTTTCCCATTACTTTACTTATACATTCAATATAATCCTGTCTTTTGATAATACTTTGAATTCCTGTATTCACATAATTCTATTATTAGTATTTTCATAATCCTATAAGGTGATGTTGGTTTTCTGATAGACGTTGATTAGTTGTGCAACTATACATACAAGAAGCTATGGAATACGATAAATTAAAATAAGAGAATAAGCATATGCTAAATACTGTATGTCTTTGAAGATAATAGAAATAATTCGTACTTGCTTAGGAATGTATTTACATTTATTTGTCACAAATTATTCAAGGAAAACAATTGTTTAACTACTGATAATTATATTATAAACGTACCTGAGTTGACTATGGATACACTATTAACGTGACTATAAATTTCGGACTAAGTAATTGATAAGTGAGCATTACATGAACATAATATGTAAGTATAAGCTGAAAAAAGTCCCTGCCCTTGCTACCTTACAGTCCTTTGTATGTCAGCTTGTTTTCGTTTCTTATTCCAACTGCGAAGTACAATATTGAATATTCTGTCTATAATTAACTTTTCCAATGGAATAAAGGCAATGCAGATTCGGTCACTTTGGGAAGGCCCAACACCGTATTGCACCAGGCCCAATACTGTATTACACCAGGCCCAACTACAAGGTCATCTCTCCTCCATTATTCAAACTTACTTTATGTCTTTAATTTGGTTTTTGACAATTTGAGCTTCAGCCTAAGCCATAATAATTAGTAGTACTTCGTAATTACGAAGTAGTAATGTGAGACAATGTCTGAATTTGAGCTTAGTTTTAGCACTATATATATTCATTAATCTTACTTGTTTAGACTTGATTGTTGAAGGGACCAAAAGATCACAACAAACGGGCTTATGTTAGGGCCAGACCAAAAGAAAGCTAAATAAATCCTACTTGTAGTAACTTTTTTTTTTTTTTTAATGAGGCACTTGGGTGTTGGTTACGGTGGGGAAGGTGTACGTGTATATGTGTTGAATCAGTTAGTCCTTAACCCCCTACATATGATTATTATCATGGGTGTTGATTTCGTGAACTTTTAATACATCCATAATAACACGAGGCATGACATGCGCCGTCTTTTGCTATAGTTAACCTCAATTGAATCAGAAATGTTTACATCATTAAGAGACCTACTACGCATAATAGTTGATGTATTGTTATAACATTTCACATTTCTAATATACTTCTTGTACAATATATTTCATATCCGTGCAACGCATATTAGCTACTGGTTTCGAAACGTTCTCTCTTTGAATTTTCTTTATCTCTAGGCCTAGTGTTTGGCAAATTTTTCTAAGGCACATAGGAGCTACACATAGAAGGCCAATAAAATAGCACAATAGAAAAAAAAAAAAAAAAAAAGCACTACTTGTTGCGAAGCTAAAGGAGTACTCCCTGTGTCTCTATATTTTTGCCTCATCGTGTTTTTAAGGATTAAACTTTTAAAAGTTTGACTACAAATCCTCATCAATTTATAAGAAAGTAATATATCTAAGTAAAATCTTGTTAGATTTGTTATAACATCACATTTTTATAGAGTATAATTTTTGCGCATATAGAATTGAAAATATCTACGCATACTGATAGCGTGAAAAATCAAACGCCGAGTGGTAATTTAAGTGGCAAGGTACTGTTCCTTTCTCACTTTACACTACTGTTTGATTCAGATGTGTCAAAAGCGTAACGGCTGACCCAAAATCTCAGTTTACTTAGCTAGATGTAGAAACCTTAATATAAAGGGAGTTGTTGAAGAGAATCTTAGTCAAATAAAGTTATTTGGTCTTTTAAATTTCTAATTAAGGTGTGGTGCTGCTGGGAATTATATTTAATTGAACCAGTCAAAAAAAATATTTAATTGAAGAATAATGCTGGTATAATTAAGGTGTGAAAAGATTAATGAATAATTGGAATTCCTCGTGATTATTGTGTAATTCTACTATGATCCTGTTTGGTAAATGGCTTTTTGATTAGTTTTTTGGCTTTTGGTTTTTTTATGTGGTTAAACAGTCAAAAAAAGTGTTTGGTAATTGGCTTTTCATTCAGCGAAAAAGCTGGCTTTTAAACCAAAAAGAAAAAGCTGCTATGAGTAGTTTTTTTTGTTGGCTTTTGGCTTGTTGACCCACAAATTATCTAATACACATCCAATAACTAAATTTACCAAACACTTATAAAAACAGCCAATTTCAAAAGCCATTATAAACAGCCAAACATTCCAGCTGGACAAAAAAGCCAAGTGAACCAGCCAACCGCCAATAGTCATTTGCCAAACAAAGCCTAAATGGTGTATTGTTTATGGTATTGTGCATTTTTGTGTTGTACTACCTCAAGATTATTCTCTACTCTTTTGTCAGGGTGCCAATTTTCGTAACCCACGAATTGTACAATTGAAAATGATGTGCAATTATGATATTGTATAATTGAGTTATCTTTATCGGTGACCACAATTGACATCGTGAAAGGAAAATATGTTTTTTTAAGTACGATGATACCATGATAATGTAAACTGGACCTATTTCGAGAATATAAAGAGCTAGCGTCCAACCAAATTTAAACCATTGATTAGAATTTTAAAGTCGTGTTAAGGGTAAATACATGTGCTATTTAGAAATTTAACATTCATATGTACCTACTCAATCTGACCTAACTTACGCGTCACTTTGAGATATCCAAGTTAAATACAGTTGATTTATCGTACACAACATGTAAGGATGAGTGTGTGTATATTGTCAGCTTTAGACATGAAGCACGTATAAAAGGCCACAATAATTCTATTTTAAAACAATAATTTCTCATATACGAGTACCTTTTTTTTTTTTTTTTTTTTTTTTTTTAACTGCATGTTACCTGCTTAATAAAACCATTAATAACAATGTCTAAATTTTTGAAGCAGACGAATGAAATTGATGAGAGAAGGAAAAAAATAAATAAAGTGATAGGAGTATAGTGTTGATCTCAATTCTCAAGTGACTTCCATATTCCCTACTTTCTTCTTTATAAAAACATAATTATCCGATAAAAACACAACAAATAAATAAGTTAAGAGTAATAAAGATACATGGTGCGTTTGTTTATTACTCTATTCGTTTCGCAATAATCGTAATATTTTGACTTTAGCACTATTCATATCTTTACTTTGATTCTAATTTTATTTTTTAATCAATTTATAAAAAAAATATATTACCATGTAGTATATTTTTGGATTAGTCTTTATGTATATTTTCATTAGATCAAGTTTTTATCTTTCTTAGTAATATACGAGTATAATTACAAATATTAATAGTCAAAATTGTGCATCACATATATGCCGGTCAAAGTGTTGTGATTATTATGAAAAGGAGGGAGTGTATAAGGGCGGTGATAATTTGCCAAAATTTATCTTATCCAGCTTAATGGTGTGTTATACTTGTATATTAAGAGTGCATCTATTCACTTACTTGAATTTAGCTTATCAATACATATTTGACCTAAAGTGAACTTACTTGAACTTATTAAAATTTGTACAATAAGTCTTGTGTAAGGCGGGTGTACGTTAATTTTATTATAAGACGATAAGTTTGAGAGTAACTTTAAGTATTTTTATGTTAACTTTAACCTCTTAAAGGGTACATTTTATTTTAATGTGTAATTTCTTATAATCTCATGATTACATACTATAAAGGCTAATATGACTAATCTAATACATTATAAGTTTTTTCTAAGATAAAATTTAATATTAGAAAAATAGTAACTTTTGTAGTATAAAGGATAACTTTAAATACTTTTAAGATAACTTTAATTCCTCTTACAATAAATTAATATACACCTGCCTTTTAGGAGAATTTGTGAAATTTATATTATTTGAACTTAATTATCAGAACTTAATAAAATGAACTTAAATATCCATGCCTTATTAATACTTAAACTATCCGAACTTAAATTTCCTTAATATTCGTTTATTCAATGCTGTTTTCTCATCTTCGATTTAATTACTCTTGACTCCTATAATTAATCAACTAATTAAGATGACAAATGTGTAATCAAATTGAATTATGGCGCACGATGTTTTATTGATTAGGCAAGGCTAGCTGCATGATTAACATGAATTGAAAAAAAATGGCATGTGATTATCGTAATTAATC